CTGACTTCGGGTGCTGCGAAGAGATGCTGGTGTCATTTGTGTGGCAAAGCTCCCCAGGATGGGGCTGTGCCCCCCTGCCCACAGACCCCTGCCACGTCTGGGCACCCCGCTGATTTAAACGAGCGTCTCCGTTAACGGGGATGAGGAGGGATCGGAACTCACGGCAGATTCTGGTGGCTTTCTTTAAACTAGGTATTTCACCTGGCTGTGAGAGGGCTGATATTGTGTTAATCAAACATGCATTAAAATCCTCCATTGCTGGTTAATGAAGGCATAATAAATAAAGATCCTATTATGCCACTGCAAAAAAAACCAATAATCATGTTTTCAATAATTAGCTGGTGTTTCATTAGCACAATTATCACTTAGGAGCTGAAGCAAGCTCTGTTTGAAACACTTAATTTAAAGGTAAGGCTGGTCCCTTCAAAGGGCTTTGCTCCATCTGAGATCTTCCACCCCTTCCCTGAGCCGAGAAGACGCGAGTGGGCAGTTAAGCTGTATTCAGCTGCCTGTCGACTCGTCGGGGGTACGTACGCAGCACGTCCCGCCGCCCGCCGTGGTTGTCTCTCTCGTGGTGCCTGGTCACACACCATGGTGCTGTCCTCATTGTAGTAGCTGTCATTCTTTTGGGGGTTGTTTGGGTGTTTTGGGGTTTCTTGCTTTTTTAATTTCTTTTCTTTTTTTGTTGTCCTCATTGTTGACTCAGCCTTGATTTTAAGTCCCTTCCTTCTCTGGGGGAGCCAGGTAAATTAGGGTGGGTGCTTTGGGGTGGCTGATGTGGCTCTTGCCAACCCCTTTCTGGACACCTGCCCTGGGGAAGGCTCCCCACGGGGCTGTCGCAGCCCCCCCAGCGTGGTCACATCCCAGGGCCCTCCCTAGGGATGCAGACGGTGCTGCTGAGTGCTGGGCATCCCTGCCAAGCGCTCCCTGCGTCACGCGGGCAGCGGACGGTGCCTGGGAGCGAAGGGACCTGGAATCAAGCCTGTGTGTGGCCACGTGTGGGGAAAGCCCCGTGCTTGGCAGGACGGGGTAGGACGGCAGCAGCTGTGCTGTGGCGTGTCCCAGAAGGGCTGGCCGGGATGCTGGGATCTCCGGCGAGATGCCGTGTTACAGCGGGGGTCAGGATGTGAAATGGTCCCGTTCAGGTCTGAGGAAGCCGTGGATCTCCAAACTGCAGCACATCCCAAACCTTACTCTTCTGCCAACCTCATCTTTCTCTTTACCAGTCCCTTCCCCTTCTATCCTTTCCGAGAAGTCTGCCTTTTCCTCAGCACAAAAGCCCTTTCCCATCGTATCCCGGTGCGTCCGTCCCTTTCGGTACAGGCTGCTTTAGCCACTGTGCCGTCTGGTCCATCTTGACGTACCCTCGTTTCCCAAAGGATTTTAACTCCCTGTTCTCTCATAACCCCTTTTCTATCCAGAAAGGCAAACTGGGAGTGCAAGAACAGGTAATGGGCAGCAGCCCCAGCTGCGAGATGCTTGCCTGCACCATACTGAGCCTGGCACGGGGTGTTTCGGAGGGGATGCTTTCTGCCCTCCAGACGTGGGGTTTGGTGCTGGGGAGGGGGGTGGGAAGTCCCTGTATAGCTCTGCTTTTCCATCTCAGCCCAAATCTCATCATGCACCCTAAAACTTTCCATTGGGCTGTTAAAAAGCACTCCAGGAATACAAATCACATAAAATTCTTCCTGTTATTTATTCCTTTTTAATAACTCAGTAGGGAGAATGAGTAATTCCTGGCAGGCCCACTGATGGGCTGAGCCGGGAGCCTCGCGGGGAGCGTACCTGGAGCCAGCTGGAGCCCCTCTTCGTACAGAGACACGGTTGTGACTCCAGCAAAGTTCAGGCCAGCCTGACTTTACTGCTCCCCCTTGCAAGGTGCATTCCCGACCTTCCCAGTCTGGGTCCTGCAGGACGAGCTTCCCTGAATGGCGCAGAAGTCCTGGATCCTCAGAAGGGGAAGTTTTGAGCCAACGCTTCACATCACACTCTCTCTTGCCTTAAAAACATGTGTCTGAGAGTGTCCAGTCTGCCTGGAAAAAGTCTCCTTAACCATTTAGTGACCCCATGGGGGGAGTATTAGGGCTCACCCCTCTGGGGTTTTGCTTAACAAAGAAGTGCAGGGCACTGGACCTTGTGTTGGATGCCATCTCCTCCTCCAGTCCTAAGCCGGGCCCACTCTGGGTTTTTACAACTAACAGGTACCCAAGCACCAAACCTCCACAGTGCTGGCCAGGGCTCCCGGGGGCAAAGCTTATCCTTGGTGGGGTTTTCTGGGGCTCCTGGTCTCTCCCAGCTGAAGTGAGGGTCTGCTTGGCTTCTCTCATCCCAGCATCCTCCCTCCCTTCCCACCTCTCCTCCATCATGACGGGGCTTGGTGCCCTTTGCCAGAGCAGTGGTTTCAGCCATGAATCCTCCTCTTTTGGATGGGCACCATTCTGGCGAGCACCATTGCCCGTCAGGTGTATCTCAACTATACCACACCCTAAGCGCCTTTCTGCAGTGCCGATGGACAGAATCAGTGGGGCGTGCAGGAACATCCCTAATGGGGGCCGTGCTGCAAGACTGAGCGAGAGCCCGGGCACCACGCTACCAGCGATGGAAACCTCTCCTCTCTCCTCCCGAGGATGGGCCCGTGTCAAAGCAGGCAGCTCTCGCTCAGCCCCCAGCATTTGAAATGACACAGAGGAATTGAAATCCCCCAAATGATACAGCGTGAATCCCCCAAAACTTCTGCTTCTGTTGTGTGTCGCAGCGGGGAGGGGAACGGTCACCCAGGGCAGTTGTTATCAGGTTCTGCTGCCTGGATCCTCTCTGTGCTGGTGGGGCGTCCATCCACACGTGCCCATTAGCTGCGTCGGAAAGTCGGGGTCCCTTGTGCCCCTGCT